ATGCGCAGCAGCAAGAAGGTTTCGGTCATCCCTTGAGGGTGAGTCTAGCCCTGCTCGCCAGAAAGATCCCCCCCTTCGCTACAACCCATGTCTAAGCAAAAGCTTGTCGAGGAGCGAGGGGAAGAAGGGAGAGTGGTCTCAGCGAATCGAGGCGTTTTTCACCATGAACATTCAAGTGCCGTCATGGTGTGAACGCTTGTGCATTTATGCGTAACTAACCCAATCCTGTGTTTCAACCATGCACAGCATGTTTTCTGCCACGAAGCAACTCATGTGGTAACCCGCACAAGCTTCGAGAGGGTATATCAAAGTTCCCCACTTCAGAGTGTGTTTTCTTGTCGCCCCCTGTATTGGTTTACTTTTTCCCTCTACGTGCCAGTTTTTTTTATTTTTATCCTCTATTGTAGAGGGCCTCAACACTTTTTGAAAATGCCACATTGTGGGGTTAATCTCTTTGACTACATGGCAGAGGGTTGAGTAGGCCAACTACAAGAAACGTTTTTGGCAATCCCGTGTTGTGTAGCCTCTAGGGAAGGCCCATTGTAAGAATCATGCTCGTGTGTATACCCGTGGGAGCTGGAGCTTCCCCCACATTCTATGTTGAACTACCCGGTAGATCCTTGTACTCCAATCCCGCAACAACTCTGACTTCGCTGGGGTTTCACCTCGAGGCCCTGCCAGCGCATGTGAACTCAAGTACCCGGGAGACCAACCTCATGACGCCTTGCTGCTGCCAAATCCCTTGTGCACTGCCCCCACGTTCTGCGTGCGGACCTACTTCTACGCGGCTTCAGGCCCAAGCACACCGTCACCCCGCCTTTCGGCTGACGCTGCGGAGTGGCACCCGCCGTCGTTTCTGGCGAAAACTATCGAAAACGAAAGCGAGGAGGACCAACAACCGGCGGAAGTCGGCGAATTGCAGGGCGAGTCACCCTCCGCGGCAGCGACGGCGGCAGAGGGTGTAGAGCAAGAGCATTGCCCCGGGTCGAACACGCCTCCTGGAGACGACGAGGGGCGGGAGGATGGATCGACGCCTGCACCGCTTCCTAGTTCTGCGCCTGCGATCGCATCCGATGAGCCAACAGCAGCCGTTTCTCCGCCGGCTGATGGTAGTTCTTCGGTTCCTGGAGACGAACAAGAGCGGGAGGATGGATCGACGCCTGCACCGCTTCCTAGTACTGCGCCTGCGATAGAATCCGATGAGCCAACAGCAGCGGTTTCTACGCCAGTTGATGGTAGTTCTTCGGTTCCTGGAGACGAACAAGAGCGGGAGGATGGATCGACGCCTGTACCACCCGACTCCGCCCAGGGTGACTCCACAACCGCCTCCGATGAGCCAACACCACTTGAAGTGTTGACGACCGAGGATGTCAAGAGCGGTAGCGTCGAAGTTGTAGGGGATGACGAGGCGCAGCCAGACGGGGTGGAGAGAGATGAGGCTACGCCGGTACCTGCTTTGGATGATGCACCCTCCGCGCCGAGCACCTCAGAAGACGCGGGCCCCCGTAATGTCGTGCCGGATGCAGCACTTGTGCTAGAGGATGGCGCCGGAGTAGCGCCCGGCGAGGTGATGGCCACGGCCTACTGCACCGCCGCCGACCCTATCAACGCCTGCTGCGAGAAAGCCGGGGAGCCGGCCTTGGCGGGGTTATCGGAGACACCTACTGCCGTCGCCACCGCTGATTGCCAAGGTACGCCCACCGATGGGCGCACGGTAGAAGAGGCAACGGCCGCGGATACTGACGCCGTCAATGGTTCGAAGCCTGAGGTTGCGTCGGGAGCAACTGGACAGCACGACAAGGTGCCAGGAGGTGAGGAGGGTGGAGAAGGCACCCGGGGGAGTGAGCAGCTAACGGACGCGGTGTCCTCCGATTCCGCGGAGAACAGTAGGTCGGACCCCGACCTCTCGTACGGTGGCGGCAAGGGCAATGCCCTAGGCGGCAAGTTCTTGTTGGGAGATGAAGGCGGGTACAAGGGGGGGCTCTTGGACGACCCGAGGTGGAGGTGGGGTAGCGTCGTGGCGGTGGCCGCGGTGGTGCTGCTGATTGGCCTGCGTCGTCGATGAAGAAGCAGGCAGGGGGCGGCCCAGCGTCAAAGTGGTGATTGTGTTTTGTCGTTGTACGGCAGAGGCTGGCGGCCCGGGCGGCGTGCTCGGCAGTTTTTTATTGGCGGACTTGGCCTTCTTCGAGGTCTAGATCCGCTCTGGTATTTAGTGATTTAGGCCTGACTGGATGTTGAACCGTAGCTCCGCACAAGGGACGTGTCACACACCCACGGCCGACCCAACCCACGGCCAACGGAGGGCCTGGAGCTAGGCTCGGCGACAACGCAGCTGTGCCCTGCCGCGTTCGCGGGAAGCGAACAGAGAGAGGGGAGCGCTGGAGAGTAAAGAGCGCTCGACCAATCAGACGGCGTGTAAGACCGCAACAACTGTCTTTTTTTCCCGGGTAGATGTAGCTTTCGCTTCTATAAAAGTATTTGATGCATGTATCGTCCTTGTAATTTGTGCGCGTCCGTCGCGATTGTTGTGTTGGTTGGGCTTCGTCTCGGGCGGATGAGGAGCTACTTGTAGCGGTGGGTGTTCGAAATTGGCGTGTTCGTGGTTGTTTACGACTTGACGCATCTGCTGCGTATTTTGCCGTGTTTTTTGTTGGTAGATACGAGGCGCGGCAGTGGAAGTCTTGAGTGAATGTCCGGATAGATCAAACGCGTTGCCTCATGGGTCTTTCGCGCGTTGCCCCCTAAATTATCGTGACGGGACACCGAGGATGAGCATGTACCGGGTGTGTGTTGAGTGGCAGTTTTTCCACTTCGTACGCGCAGTTCCAACTCTTTTGAAGGCGACTAAACTCGTGGCTCGTCCAAGGTGCGCCCCCAGGTTGTTTGATTACGCCATGTACAGCTATCCTCGTTCAGATGTAGCCCAGCCTTGTGAAGCAATCCTTCGTATGTCGGTGTTAGGTTCGTACAAAGCACGGGCTTCGTTTGGGGCGAGTTGGTTTGTCCTTTTTTTCCCTCACTGTGTTAGTTTTAGTTTGTTTCGTTAGGCCGATGATAATGTTCCGTCCTTTTATTGGCCGTGTCGGGTTTCCTCATGTGACATGGTCATGTGACATGGTCATGTGACATGGTCATGTGACATGGTAGTGACATGGTAGTTTTAATGGTGTGGCTTGTTCGAGGGTAGCCTGCTTCGGGCTACCTTCTCCCGCTTTAGGGCACGATACCGAAACAGAAGCGGCAGAAAACTGCCGCAACCGCGATGTGTGCCTTGTTCGGGTGTCTGCTGCCGCCGTAGAGTGTGCATCTCAGTTGTGTCGGCCTAGAGAGGCTTGTTTTATTCTTCTAGATAGGAATGTCTGCTGCCGCCCGTAGAGTGCGCATCTGTTGTTTCGGTCTGGAGAGGCTTGTTTTAGTCTAGATATAATTTAGTTGCAATACCCCTCATGGTGTTGGTGTGAAATAGGTTTGGCATCATCGGTGCGTTGGGTAGACAGTTTGGCTTGCCTCTTCCATCGCACCGTCCTAGCAGCATCCCTGCCGAGTGCGACCCTCGGATAACCATCTCCGAGCGGGGAGAGCTTCATCCTAAGCGCTCTCTCTCGTGCTTTTGTGTTCGTTCGCTCGTTGCACCTGTTTCGTCGCTGTTTGAAGGTTTCTTCGTTGTTGTGTAGGTGGTTCGTTCTCGTGGTTGTGCATCCATACCTCATTACTGTCGAGTGTATCCAGAAGCGTTCAGTGAAGCTGTACAAGGGTTGGTTGCCTTCAGCGTTGGAAGGATCCCTCTGTCAAGATGTTTGGACGGGCATACAGTGATTCAGCATGCGTGGTGGTGGGGCATCAACTCTTCCTCGGATTCAGTAAGCGCTGTTGGGTGACATACCCCACGGAGTACAGAGTACTTGTGCGCAGGTACCAGGGCTTGCGACGAAACCAAGGCTGCATGCAACGAGTTGGGCTGCTTGCCTGCCACCCTGCTCTCGTAGGCTTGAGTTGAAGTGCTCGCCAATGAGTGGGACAAAACTACACCTCGCGCAAAATAGCTCGACTTTCGATGTGAAGACAAGGCTTTCAACTCATCACTTCGATTCGGGTTATGTCTCGAACGGGCGGGTAGACTCTTGATCGCGTATGCTTTCTGAAACAACGAACGGGTGATGCCCGTGTCATCATCGTACGTTTCGCCCAAACACAGAACACGAAGCGCACAAGCTTAATGATACAGCAATGCTCACGGCACTCACAACTTGCCGAAAACCACTCAATACTCGAACAAAAAAAAATCAATTCGTGGTCCCGCCTTCCTTATCCTAACCTATAACGATCACTCTCACAACATCAAAAGGACGGCATAACAGACACAAGACGCAAGATACAAACCTACGTTGTCGTCGACCTGCGCCTGCCCTTGCCCGACCTCTTTTTCTTTTTTTTTCTGCCGGCCCCCCCCCCGTCCTCGCCCGCCTCAGCTACTGCCCCCCCCTCCTCGGGTACGACAGCCCCCACCGACTGCTTCTGCACCTTGACGAGCACTGGACTTGCACCAGCGACGTTCTTCGCGTCACCAGCAGTTTTTCTCCTCTTCTTCCGAGCCTTCTTGTCACCACTGGCGCCGGCTATCTCCTTTGCCCCCGCCGCCGGTAACACGGCTTGCCCCACCAGCCCTAGAGTCGTCGGGGCAGAAGCACCGGACGAACATTTCTTCTTGCGCTTCTTGGGCTTTTCCGCCGACCCCTCCCCACCTCCTCCCGCTACTTGACTTGGATCTCTCTTCGAAGCGTCGCCCATGACAACGTCACTTTCCTGCAAATCGCTATCCTCCTCCTCGCTGTCCGAGTCTCCCGCCCCACTATTTTCTACCCTAACGTTAAAAACAACCCGCCCATCGACAACTTCGGACACAGGCACCGGGCTTGCAACCTTGTCCTCCCCCTCACTATCACTCTCCACTCCCCCATCTACACCCTGTCCCTCTTGTCGGGGTTTGCCATCCCGAAGACGTTTCAACTCTCGCACCAGGGGACGGGTAGTTTTTGTCCCCGCCGCTGCCTTGTTGCTGTCACCCGCAGGACTGTTCCCGGCCACAAGCATCTGCATGGAGGCCAGCGTGTGCTCTACAAGATACGACGACTGCAGCAGGCGGTCCAGGCGTTGGAAGTGCCGCTCCGAGTAGGGAAGCAACACGCGCACCAACTCCGCACATCCCTGCGGGTGGAATTTGCGGAGGGGGGGGGCAATAGGGCTGCAAATTACAATCCTGACGATGCAAGTGAACGTACGCGTGGAATATATAGCAGTGTATAACAGTATAGTGAGCGAGAAAATCATTCCAGCATGGTGTTTGTAGAAGTACAACATAAGCCTGGCGCAATTCTTCGTCATTTGTGAACTCCAACGTTTTCAGTTGACACACCTTTGGCATTAACCAGACAAGCAAGTTTCGCAAGCTTGCAGTCTCGGACACAGCATTACACACATAAACATTGGTCCAGAAGAACTGCTCACCGGCAGCTCTTTGAGAGAAGTGATGCTGACGCAGCGGAGGATGCTCCCAACGAGGGCATGCACGACCACCGCCTTCCTCGCGTTCGTGTTCCAATCGCGGCAGTACCCCAGGCACTGGCTGATGGTGTCCATGGTCCAGGAGGACACGTGCTCGTCCAAACGGCGAGATGCCATCTCCGTCGTTTCTGACAACATAAAAAGCACCGCCGGTAATGAAATATCTTGTCAACTAATAAATATAGCACGTAACAGAAGGTGCCTACATCGCCGAAGCAGAATATATCCGACGAAGGTGGAGAGAAGCGACCGTGTCCTCAGGGCATCCACGACGCTATCTATGGCAACGTGGGTGGGAGTGCAAACATACAAGCACTGCTGCACACGAGCAAGATTGTACGGACGGTTGAGGAAGAGCAACCAAAAAGCTGTAACCGTTTGTAGAGCCCTCCGCCACCGATCTAAACACTGTCCTCTATCGATTCGTCAGCACCATCGCACGTTGGTTGGGGAACATCTTTCCTGTTGTGATACACTCACCGTCATCGCCGCCCGCCGGGGCACCTTCTCCCCCTTCTCCCATTCCCTCCGTCATGGCGTCCCTCAGAACGCCCCACAGCTTCTGCGGGCGCTTGAGCTCGAGTGCTAGTGCGATCGCGGGCCCGTACTCCTTGTTCCTCAGGCGGTTGTACAGCTCCTGCTCCTTGAGTAGGGCGTTCTCCCTCTCCGCGATCACTTTCTCCTGAAAACCCCGAGATGGCATTTTCGTAAAGAAGCCAAGGGGCAGCGGCGGCGGAAGAAGCAGGTTGGGTCGGAGGAACCAGGAAAACACAAACAACCGGAAGATAGTCTCATCAAGAGCCGAACAAACAAACACAAGGACATCCAAAGACCGTCACATCATCACAATAGCTTGCGCACGAAAAAAAAAAGAAAAGAAAACACGTTCGCATCATCAACGCACGCCGGCTACTCCCTCACCTCTTCTCGGGCCGTCACGTCCTTCCACACGTTTATCACCGAGTCCGCGCCGCCGCTAACAACCACTATCCCCGCGTTCGGCCCCTCTTCGCCTTCCACCACCTCTTCCTCATCCCGATGTCTCCTCACCGCCGGCGCCGCCGCAGTGGTCAACGCCCAGACCTTGTCGGTGTGCGCGTCCAGCGTAGCCTCGCACTCATCGGAGCGTACGGTCCAGACCTTCACCAGCCCGTCGGCCCCTCCGGACACGACCTGGGCGCCCGCGCTAACGAAGGCGACGCTTAGGACGGACGCGGTGTGGCCCTGGAACGTCCTCAGACACGACAAGTCCGCGAGGCTCCAGAGCTTGACGGTGCGGTCACCGGAGCACGACGCCAGGCAGCGGTCCACGGGGCTGAACTCCACCTGGGGTATTGATGACATCAAACCAGCGTCAGCAGTGGAGAGATGAGTTGTGGGACGTCATGGCGCCTTGAAAGACAACCAACTGCAAAATGACCAAGCACCGAACAGCTGTGCCCCTTGGTCATCCTCCGATGGCTCTCGTCGCTATGCTCGCCAAGTAAGACCAAGTGCATCGACACGAGACAAGCGACCCTCGTGGCCCCACTACAAGCTTCCGCTCAAGCCTCACCTTCCAGACGCCTCTCTTGTGGCCCTTGAGCACCCCCGTCAGCTCCAGGTCCGCTGCCTTCCAGAGCTTGATCGTGCGGTCCTGGGACGCGCTCGCTACCACCGCATCGTTCGGCGACACGGCCACGCAGTTGATGTCTTGCTCGTGCGCGCGCACGCTCCGCCGCGCCGTCTCCAGCAGCGGCGCCGGGGGCGTCCACACCCCGGCGCCGGCGCCGCCGGCCTTGCCTTTACCGTCGGCTTCTGCCGCTGCTTCTGCCGCTACCTCTGCAGTCGCCTCCCTCGAGTCTCTCGCCGCCCCCTCCAGTGCCGCGAGAGCGCGGCAGGGGACGTCCCAGCGCTGAAGCGTGCGGTCGGCGGCACCGCTCACGACGAAGGCCGCTGCGCCTCCGGCGGCAGAGCTTGAGGAGGAGTTCCAAGGGCCAGGCTTTCGCGAGGCTGCCACCGCACCCACTGAGTCGGCGTGGCCGGACCACCGCACCACCGGTACCCCCAGGTCGACGTTCCACAGGAGACAGGTGCGGTCCTTGGAGGAAGTGCAAAGGTGCCGCCTGAGGAGGTGGGAGGGCGGTGAGTTTCGGGGGAAGGCGAAAAAGAGAGAGAGAGACAATTCGCGGAGCAACGTTTGGAGGAGTGATGTGTGTCTATGCGTGGGTGAAAGAGCCGACATTTTCTCTGGGCCATTCGCTGCAAATAAAAAAATAAAAATGGTTCCGGCATGAAATTCGGGGAGAGTCGCGATGGACATGTCGACACAACGAACATCAAGTTCGTCGAACGTTCACGGGTTACCATCCAGTTTGCTCGAAGAGTCCTAAGCCCACAACGCATAAGCAAGCCCTCAACGTTAGCGTTCCGTGTCCTTGACTACTCCTAGACCCACTGTGCATGAGAAAAACGACTTGAAGTTAGCATTCCGTGCCCTCAACGACTCTTAGTATACCCGCTACCCATAGTCAAACAGAGGTTAGCGATGCGTGTTCCCAACGACCACCACAGCGGCTGGGCGGCTCACCCGTCCGGTGCCACGTCCAAGGCCAGCACGGTGTCCGTGTGTCCGTCCAGCAACCGGCACGAAAAGCTGCCCAGCTCGAACAGCCGAACCTGCGGGCTGTTGGTCGCCACGGCAACCCAGCTCTCCCCATCTGACTCGCCGCCGCTGGGGAAGCTCTTCACATCGATCACCTCGTCGTTGTATCCCACGATCTGCCGCCGGGTAACCAGGGACCCGTGAGAGCCAACAGCCGCCGCCGCCGCCGCCCCCGCGGTTTCTCCCAGGCGGCGTTTGCCGCTAGCCTCGATCAAGACGAGGTTATGGTCCACGGTGACGGCCAGTAGACCGCCTCTTCGCGGGTCCAGGAGGAGGGACGTGTAGCCGGCCCTGTGGGAGGCGGAAGCGTTGTCCTGGGTCATCACGCAGCGGCACGTCAGCCGCTGCCCTTTTTCATCCCGGTCGCTTGCTGCCGTCACCGCAGCCTTGTTGTTCTTTTTCTTACTGCCGTCAAGCTTGTGCTTTCCTTTTCCCGGTGCCGCTGCTTCGACTGAAGTACCCTCGAGAGAGAAGACTCTCACGACGCCGTTCTTGCCCGCGACGGCCACGAGGCTGCCGGCGGCGGACACGGGAAAGCTCTCAGAAAATTCCTCCGACTGTGGAAGAACCTGAAGCCCTTCCACCTCCTCGTACACGGGAAACGTCTTCCGCACCTCCGACCTACAAACGGAGCACATCCGGAAAAAACGCAAGCATGTCATGAATGACGCACATGTTTTCGGCACGAGGGCGGCATGGTTCAAGCACGGGGCGATGGAAGCTACATGGGCATGAACAGGGGGGTGTACGGGTTTGGAGGAATAAAATGGAGAGCCTTTGAACGAATCGAGCTAAACAAGAAGGAAGGAGACCGCGCTATATTACGTTTCGACAAATTTTGGGCTTCAGGTCCCAAAGGGTTGCCGTCAGCTCGGTACACCAGCTCGCCTGTCATTCCATTGCGCGGTAAACCTGCTACAGTATACCCGACACACCGCGGTTTCTGATGCCGCCACTCTCACGCATTGCTGCACGATTACCATGAGAGTCGTGCCTGCTTAGAGGACACTTCCCGCTTGACGGGTGCGCTGTTTTGTTCTTGTCAAAACTGTGGTGCCCAGCGGAATGGAAAAAAAACAATGTAGAGGGTAGCAGGGTACTTCGGAATAAACTTTTGCCCGACAGAATGTGAAAACAACATAAGGGGTGGGGGGTACTTGGGGAAGAATATTAGGACGCTTTCCTCGAATTAAGGCCAAAACATTTCGAGAAAAAACCAAGGGTGTCCTTGAAACCGGAACGATCACATACAACTGCTGTGTAAATATCCGACGTCACTGCCCGTATCCCCCTCCCACGGGATTGGATGGGGTCGTGTGGGAAACCAGCGACAACGGCCCTCAACGCAAGCAGCCCTCCACTACTAATAGAGGGGGCCGTCGGGAGGTGTAAATCTCCGAGGAACTTGGACGTCCAAGGGGCCAAGGATGACCGACAGCACTCTTGAGAGCTGAGGCTGGCCCAAGACGGAAGATGATTAGTCCTCGTGTGCATGTATGTGTGCGGTTGTCATCAAATGTTATCACGTCGAACGCAGCACCGGTTGAAGTGTTGGTGCAGTCAACCGCGAAAAAGCATTGCAGCTGGCGGCTGTCGCACAATCATTTTCGTGTGGTGTGCGTACTTCAGGTCACGTTTACGGTGACAGCTTTGCAGCCAACGCAGACAAGAATTGGGGTGACGAGCCGTGCGGCTGCCTCACGATTTAACTTTCGTCGTGGCGATTATGCTGCTGCTGCTGATGCTGATGCTGATGCTGATGCTGATGCCGCTGCCTCTGCTGTGCTGGGTTTACTTCCCGATTTGCGCACCATTCGCGCGACACCGATTGAACGGACTAACAACAACAGAGACACTCCGCCCTGCTCCACAGGACACCATGACCATCCCACCTGTCCAGGGCCCAGACGTTAAGGACGCGATCTCGCCCGCCGGAGATCACCCCGGTCCCTCCCGGCAAGAACGCCAGCGATGTCACGTAGCTCAGGTGTGCCTTCAGGACGGCCGTGCAGGACTGCTCCGAGAGGCTCCACACTCGTACGGTCGTGTCTTCGCTGCCGGTGACCAGCGTCAAGCGTTTCGAGTCCTGTTGCGACACATCGCACGCGGAAAAGCAGCCAGGGGGTAGAAACACACAAGAGCGTACAAAAGCAGCAAGCAGAGCGCGGGACCGGCACATTTGCGTTGAGGAAAGTTACACATTACGCGTCGATATCGTGGAAGAATATTCTGTGACACCTCCCGTACCCTACAGAATAGTTCTGTAACGTCCTCGTACAATACAGAATAGTTCTGTGCAATACAGAATAGTTCTGTGGCTTCTGTGACACGTCCCGTACCCTACAGAATAGTGCTGTGGTTTCTGTGACACCCCCAGTACCCTACAGGGAGTACCTGTACCCTACAGAACACAGCCGTGGACAGAATACGTGCTGGAGCCGCGGGCTTGACATAGGTGCAAGTCGCCTGGCTACCAAGAAAGCGTTGCTGCGAAAAAAAATTCGATGCTCCTCTCCTTTGTCTCTACTGCACTCTTCTCCTTGTCTCTGCTGTACCCTTTTAGTCTCCACTGACTGCACTTTCCTTCATCTCTTATGGTAATACTGCACCATTCTCGGTCACTACAGTGCCCTTCCTGGTGGTTACCGTAAACTGCTCCTTGAAATCAACTGCACCTCTATCGTGATCACCACCACTGGGCAAACTACTAATACGGCATGCACAGAGACCCTCTTGCATGTGCAGCGTGGACACAACAACAATGACGACAGCAGCAGCAGCAGCATCGCTCGCCGTCTTGCAGACCGCCTTGCGCGGTGTCATTGCCCTCACCGGGTGGAACGCAACCACGGAGACGACGCCCGTGTGGCCCCGAAAGTTGTGCGTGCAGTACCCTCTCTCGACGTCCCACACCTTGGCGGTAGAGTCGCTACTGCCCGTCGCCACCAAGGTACCAGTACTGCGGTGGGAACAGAACAAAAAAGTCCGCCAAGGGGGAATGTCCAGAAACAAAAGGCCGAGGGATTTCTCACATGGTGTGGTGCTATACGTATGTCGAGACAAAAAAGGCCTAGAGGGACCGCTCACATGGTATACAAAACGAGAGGAAAAAATGCCGTATCAACAACGCCCTCCTTCTCCCCGAGCCCAGCCGTACTTTCTCTACAACAGAACACTCGTACCAACTACACCTTAGTAGAAGCATCTGCATGACGTACGCCCCCCAAAAGAAAACCGCGAACGTAAAAGGCGGGTAAATTGACCAACGCCATTGTGCTCATATGCCTCAGAGAATGGATCTAGATGGTCATCACGAAGTGTGCAGACGCTGTTTGGTCATCCTTGAAGCATCCCCGACGCCCGCACGAACGGCAGCCGCCCGCGAAAACCGCAGGCAGCCGCCACGCTCAGACTGCCCCGCTCTCTCGTGCCTTCTCCGACGGCGGCGCAGAACGAGCCACTATCGGGGGGGGGGCGAGAGAGAGCATGTGGAGTGGGTAGGCCCGAAGGAATCCATCATCGGCGAGCTTGGGGGTATAATCTAAAGCTTTTGACTATTTTTTAAAATGCTGTCGAACAAACTCATCGTAAAAAACAACAAATCAGGATGGTTGAGAATATACGCCTTGTCAAGCACTGCAAGTCCTCGCCTCTCCCATCGTGGCAGACAGGTAAATCAAAAACCGTTACACGGTGGTGACCCTAGCATCAAGTCTTGAACGGACGCCGGGATACGAGATGGTCATATTCATGGTTCCGGGGGAGGGATGTGTCAACGCTCTCGTGCTCATGCCCCTCAAAGAATGGATCTAGATGGTCTTCACGGAGTGTGCAGACGCTATTTGGTCATCCTCAAAGCATCCCCGACGCCCGCACGAACGGCAGCCGCCCGCGAGAACCGCAGGGAGCCGCCACGCTTCGTCTGCCCCGCTCTCTCGTGCCTTCTCCGACGGCGGCTCAGAACGAGCCGCCACCGGGGAGGGCGCGAGAGAGCATGTGGGGTGGGAAGGCCCAAAGGAATCCATCATCGGCGAGAGCAGAGGAACAGCGGCCAAGGGACAAGTGGCTGTTGTGGTTTGGCGGAACCAATCCATTTTGCGTTCTCAGCAAGTCTGGACAACAAGGGGAGCTGAACAAGTCTTTCTAGAAGCGTTCGCCAGGGAAACGGGATCGGAATATTCTAGAACGCGGCTTCTATCCAAGCACCTTGTTGTACAAAGTAGAAAGTACTCCTTCACGAAAATCTCTCGTACTCATGCGCCTCAGAGAATGGATCTAGATGGTCTTCACGGAGTGTGCAGACGCTATTTGGTCATCCTTCAAGAGTCCCCGACGCCCGCACGAACGGCAGCCGCCCGCGAAAACCGTAGGTAGCCGCCACGCTTAGACTGCCCCGCTCTCTCGTGCCTTTTCTGAAGGCGGCTCAGAACGAGCCACCACCGGGGAGGGTGCGAGAGAGCACGTGGGGTGAGTAGGCCCGAAGGAATCCATCATCGGCGAGCCTGGGAGTGCTAACGACTTTAGACTGTTGTCGAACACCGGCAACTTACGAAAAAGAGGTGGTTGAGAACACCGGACGTACCTCTCCAATGGTGGCAGGCAGAGGCAAACAATTAACATTACAGCACGGCAGTGCCCCCAGCATTAACCTTGAAGGGCACACAAAAAGAAAAACACAGGATACGAGATGGTCGTATCTCGTGGTTTTGGAAGAAGGATGGCTCAACGCCCTCGTGCTCATGCGCCTCAAAGAATGGATCTAGATGGTCATCACGATGTGTGCAGACGCTATTTGGTCATCCTTCAAGAGTCCCCGATGCCCGCACGAACGGCAGCCACCCGCGAAAACCGTAGGTAGCCGCCACGCTTAGACTGCCCCGCTCTCTCGTGCCTTCTCCGACGGCGGCTCAGAACGAGCCACCACCGGGGAGGGTGCGAGAGAGCACGTGGGGTGAGTAGGCCCGAAGGAGTCGATCATCGGCGAGCTTGGGAGTACTAACGCCTCTAGACCCCTGTCGAACACGGGCAACTTATGAAAAAACAACAAGTCAGGGGCGGTTGAGAACACCGGCTTTGTGGCAGGCAAAAGGAAACAAAGATATTACTATTAATAGACGGTGGTCTCCCCAGCATCAATCTTTAAAGGCCGACAAAACAAAAAACACAGGATACGAAATGGTCGTTTCTCGTGGTTTGGAAGGATGGCTCAACGCTCTCGTGCTCATGCGCCTCAAAGAATGGATCTAGATGGTCATCACGGTGTGTGCAGACGTTTTTTTGTCATCCTTCAAGAGTCCCCGACGCCCGCACGAACGGCAGCCGCCCGCGAAAACCGCAGGTAGCGCCACGCTTAGACTGCCCCGCTCTCTCGTGCCTTCTCCAACGGCGGCGCAGAACGAGCCACCACCGGGGAGGGTGCGAGAGAGCACGTGGGGTGAGTAGGCCCGAAGGAATCGATCATCGGCGAGCACGGGGTAGGGCCTTGAAACATCGAAGACAAACACGATTGTTTGCCGCCTTTGAAAATACCACGAGAAAAAAAAAAACACGTACTGTTGTATGGGAGCCGCAGGCAAGCCGCTCACAGGTCGCTGTTTTCACTCCTGCTTCTTGGGGGGTGTTGATTCGCTATCAGCGCTCGTCCTTTGACGGACTTTTGTACATGGAAGACACCCAGGCACAGAGAAATGAAAATGTTTGTCGCTGTACAAACTACTATCTAGAGACCACGCTTCATCGTCGTCAAAAGCCCGGCAAGCTTGATCGCCGCAGGATAGGTGGATTGCAACGGATTCTCACAATCTAGAGGTGCGTTACACGGCCACGGGACGGCAGTGCGAACGCGAAGCATTGGACCCACCCATCGTAGTCCATGCATCGGACGATGTGATCGTGGGCCTTGATGGCCCGCTTGCAGTCCCCTGTAGCGATCTCCCAATGCCGTAGTAGGAGACTTCGGCTGGCGGTCACGATCTCCGACCCGTTCGGGTGCAGAGCAAAGGATACCTACCAAATGTATTTGAAGTTGCAGGACCGAACAAGAGTGAAAAAGGGCACTTTGCGCGCATACCTACGTAACTTGTACGACAGGTGACTGTTGCGGAACTGAAGAACGGTGCAAATGGCAGTTAGGATGCACTCAGGCATTCATCGATCAGAATGGTGCCGTGGGTATCAACAGAGAACTCGCTACAAGCACCCCTTTCTTTACGAAACGGCTTCCACTTATTTAGGTGACACACAGTGGCAAGAAAGCATCTGCGTGCCTGGCCAGACCATGAAACCTCCAATGCGGGAAGAATAGCACATACGGAAAGCACACATGCCGCTGGCAAAATACGAACCCCTCAGCCAGGACCGAGTAGGCCCAGGACATGCAAGACTAACGACCCCGATTTTGTGGAGACCTTACGTTCCCCCAACTACAGCACTTAATGTTTCTGATTTCAAGTGACGCACAATTTCTTCCTCGCCTCCGGAGCTCCCCTCGCTTCTGAGGCGCTTGGTCACAACCCCCTCCTCCACGTCGACGAAGGACACGTCCCACTCGTACAGGCAGGCAAGGAACTTGCCATCCCTGCTGAGCTCGACCTTTCCTCCGCTGAGGAGGTTGGTCGATGCAAAAACAAACACAGCAGGCAGAGAGGCACCCAAGTAGTTGCCCACGACTTACACGGCCAGTTGTGGGTGCGGGGTGCGGGGGTTGCATGACTCACCGTTTACATCCGAAGAGCAGAGCTTATCGTCGCTCGTGATACTGCGGTGCCCCTCCCGAAGTCGATACGACAAATAACAGTTTATTATTAGTGATTGGTGATTCGGCCCCGGGGCACTCAGCCATGTACCATGGATAGGAACGGAGAGGGCGCCACCCTGTCGGGAGCGCGACTGCATCAAACTCTACAGGACAAGATATACATGGTGGCGAGAAGCGTCTGCAAAAACGGCATTCACGCGGGCGCAAAGGGGTAGACGGTGAGCGTGCCATTCTCCGCATGTCTCGGGTAAAGGGTTCATGACAATTCACATGGCCACACAACATGATCGCAGGATAACTGCCTCTGTTGGTGGTATTCAATGGATGTTTTTACTCGACACGCGGCTGACAGCAAGTGAAGCAGAAACTGGCGGTTTTTCTATCCGTTGAGGTTGAACACGTGAACACCGCCGCGAAGGTGGGCGTGGACGAATCGGCCGACACACAAGACAGCGCCAACGCTGCCATGCACGGCCACTCATGTCCCCCAGGAAGGTATTGGCCGCTGCTGTTGACCACGGCGCATGGCGTGGAAGCTGCACGAATGCTAGGGAAATAAGCCTCCGGTAGCATAGAAAGTACCGTCGTGGATACCCCAGTGCTTGTACGGGCAACTGGCCAGTACGCAACGGTTTTGGTGCTCTGACATCTCCTGCAGGCCTGTGCTGCTGCTGCTGGCGGTACATTCGGAAGAGGCGGCCGCGGCATCGTGTGAAAACACACGAGATGATTGCTTACCTGAAAGCTCCCTTGTGCGCCTTGGAAACCTCCCACGCCTTACTCAGTGAAGGACCACGTGTTGTAGAATCTAACTTGAGCATATCTACTCAGCTCGTGGGCCGTCGCTCGGACCACAGGAGGCTGTGGACAGCAGAGACTGACTGCGGAGTTGGGCAGCTGTCGAGTCCCACTCAGTGAAGCGGGGCATCACAGACAATAATATTGTGTATGCCAGTTTGTTCGTATTCGCAGACCCCCTTCTCAATGGAAGGTCAAATTCTGTAAGGTCCAACAACACTCAACTTTTGGACACGAAGAGGATCCCACTCCCCCCCGGCGCTTTGGCACTACTGTAGCGACACCTTCGAGCTGTGGGATGGTCGCGTACATGATCCCTTCCGCCGCACGTTGATACGTTGATATCCTGTACTTCGGGGAGATTCGATTTGTCAACGTCCCGCGGTGTGCTGCTACTACGGCTGGTGCGTGCGCGACAGTTGAGACTTTTTCTTGCGCAGAGGAGCATAGAGAGAGAGAGCTCTCCTGTTTGATACCAACGCTTCCAGCACGGCTGAGATCCACACCCCGCCAGTGGCAGAGAGAGATACCCGGATCAGACGTGCCATGGCATGTGAGGTAGACATGGAAATGCACAGCAGCAGTCAAGACTATCAACCGATGGAAGTGGGCAATGGCGAACTTTCAAAACAAATCAGCAACGGCTTCGCCTGGTGGAGACCTCGTTCTATCCTCCGAGCATCCCTTGCCGATGTCTCCCTCAGCACCACCAACACCAGCGTCGTCAGCAACAGCACCAGCACCAGTTCCCCGCCGCTGCCGCTGCCGCACCAAGGTGGCGGAGAGGGAGAGTCGTCTCCCTCCTCGCTCTTCGACGTAGCAGCGGCAGCACAACAGCAGTTCGAGACACAGCTCAAGCCCAAGATCCAGCAACACAACAACTGGACCAGAGGCAGCAGGGACGGCACCGAGGCACCGTCTCCCGACGAGGACGATGCCGCCAACAACCACCACAACGACGCCGACTCTGCTACTTCTGCTGCTGCGCCGTCGCTCCTGCCGGCGTACAACAACGACTCGGCCCGGCGGCGACGACCAGAGCAAGGCGTCCTCGGATCCTCGTCCGGCAAGCTCAAGTCCCTCAAGCTCGCTCCCATAGGCTCGGAGCAACTCGCAAAGCACACAGCAGCAGCAGCAGCAGCAGCAGCAGTGGATTCGGATCGCCCCGGGACTCCTGTGAGGGGTGGTAGTGTTGGAAGCACCTGGTGCATGGGCCCTCTCCAGGTTCGTCGGCAGGAGCAGCAGGACGAGCAGCAGCGGCGGCGGTTGGACGGGCAACGGCGCACACCTTCCAAGCCGCCACGGCCTAACCACAACGCCGGCGCCGTGGGCGCCCGCTTCGCCGTGGCTAGCGAGGGGGGCATGGGTACGCTCGGCGAGAAGGCTACGGCGCAAGCGGGGGTGGGAGAGGGCAGCTGGAAGGAGGAGGGCATGGACGACGAGACCGCGGCAGGGATTAGCACCACCAGCGTCGTATACGATGTCCTTGCGGTGGATCGGGGGTGCGGGTACTGCGACACCTCCGTGGTGCCGTTCCCCGTGGAGGAGGGGGGCCAGGTGGCCGCGGAACGGATGAGAGCTTTGACCTCCGGTCAAGGAGAATTTCTGGCGAGAAGGTGAGTCGGCGGGTGCGTACGTGCTCATATTTGCGAGATTGTGGGGGGTTGAAGTGTGGAACGTACATGCAGAAAACAACACAACCACCGCAACCTCCAAGGGATCAAGCCCATGGACGGTATGTACGTCAAAGTTGTTCGCGCGTGGCATGTT